TGTAACGGCGCTAATACTTAGCATGGGGCAAACCAATGTTACCAATGTCCCATCAGGCGTTTTCTCAACCTCGCGCGCCCATTGCCTTACGCATCCGACCACTTTCGTTGTCAAGCTGCGAATACCGTTTATAAAATTGGGCTGGAAGTTACTTTACCAGTTTTATATTACCAGTTGAACGGATCGGCGGCCGTGTTCCAGAACGTGGTGGGTTATCGCCACTCAAGGGTTTATCCATATAAAGGCCATAAATATCCACTTATCCACATTGCAACGTGGCGGCGGTGATTCGCCACCGAATAATGTCACCGTCCACAAACCCACCCTGGCCAGTTAACCAGAGTGTGCATTCACGTCCTTTCAATATTGTGATATGTATACTAACAAGGCACTTCCCTGTTTCTACTTTCCGTCTCCACTGTATACGTTACGCTTTTACACATACTTAAACCATGAATTCCGCCACACCATTAATGATTCCGTTCTTGACCAGTGAAGTCGCCGTTTTGGTAACTAATGAATAATGCGCGAACAGCACACTTCATGCAAAGCAGCCTGCCAGTTGCATAGCAATGGATTATAGAGCTTTGAACATTCCAGATTTGGTGTGCCGCGAAGTATTCTAGAATATATTATTAATTTTTTATCTGTTTCTTGCGATATCTTGCAATGTTCTCCGCGTTTTACAGTGCAGTGTACTTCTTGTCGTCCATTTTTACGCCCCCACCATAATTTATCCCATCCAGGTATACGCCCTGCGTTAAAGTTCGTCACGAAGCCTTTCCTGTGGCGCAACAGCAACCGAGATGTTACTTAGAGGACCCGCACCTTCTGCTCTGCCAACATCCGAAATTTCAAAGCCGCGTACAGCACCTGTTGGTAGGGTTCTCATTTAGCTCGCGACACGCCCACATCCACATGGATGAGGTCAGTCCCCACATACCCTCTAATCGCACGGTCTTTCTGTTGACAGGCAGCGACCTATTTACCAGGTAACGAACGAATTCCGCGGCAAATGTTAGCACGGAGGAGATTGTTCGAGCATTTATGAGTTGCTGTCTCTCTACATGATTGTCTGGCAACCTTACTGACAGACAGATGTCCCCAGTGGTGCCAGCTGGGTGGTACGGGTTTAACCCGTTCCAGCAAATAGTTCGGCGGCAGTGTTCCAGGACGTGGTGGGTTTTCGCCTGGCAAGCGTTCTCTCTATAAAAGGCCACAAATGTCTGCTTAACAACACTGCGACGTGGCGGATGCGACTCGCCACAAACTAAAGTCACTGGCCCGTGGATATTCGGAACATGCTATCCAACCCACGAAAATCAATGGCTTATTCTCACATTTCTGACGATAGCAAACAGTAAAACATTCTGCGGCGCATTCAAAACCACAAGCTACATTCCTACTCAAGTACATACGTATATACACCCGTATACTTACATACACTGTTTTGCCAAACATGTCCTTTTGTACAATTTGATTACACTATGTTCGCTGAATATGATCATGGCTCTAAAGATGTGCCTCGCGTTGTCGAGAATAATATTTATTTATTTATTTAGTTCGAGGGTACACAATTACAAGAGACTTTAAAACTTTAGTTCGCGTACATCCTCCTACTACCTACCGTCCCCAATCAAACGATCTGGTAGAGCGTTTCCATCGTCAACTAAAAGCTTACCTTACTGCAGTTAAACATCTTCAATGGACAGAATCGTTTCCTACTATCATGTTAGCCAATCGCGCTAGCCTAAGTGTCGACATGCAAACAGCTAGCGCCGAACTAAGTTTCCGTCAACCACTTCGTCTACTGGAGACTGCCTTGTTCCATATTGAGAAGCTTTCGTCTATGCTACTTCTCTTGCAAACAACATGCGTACGCACAGGGCGCTTTGCACCTATTAACCCCCGTGTCCAATGCCGGAGAACCATTTTACCGTCAAAGCTTCTAACTAGTTCGCACGTATTCGTAGGGTTGACGACCTCAAGCGATTCCTGTCTCCGTCACTTGGCATCGATCGCCGCGGGCAGCGTGAATCCGCAACGTTTAGTTGCTTGGAACTTGTCCATATTGACAGCGACAATGCTTCTGGAACAAGCCTGTTCCTCCGCCAACAACGTCAGTCCTAACAGTTCAGCGACGTCCGGGCAAATAAGCCCGACCTAACCTAGTGCACCGAGAGCGGTCATGTCAGACCGACAGGTATATTGCCCTCGTCGTTTTGCACAGATAGTACACTTTTCTGCACGACTCTTTTCCACCACCGTTGAAAATAAGAAAAGCTGCTAAATGCTTTGAAAGTGTCAAAATAGGGTTAACGTTTTGAAAACCCAAAAATTCTTATAGGAGCATGTTAGTTTGTCACCCGTTATTGTCAACTCTATTGTCAGCACCTTATACCGTTGGCTTCTCATCTACTCTTGTAAACTCGGTCGCACGTTCATGAGGGAGCCAATTGCCTTAACTTATGCATGGAACATTTCCCGCCGAACTGCCACCTACCTACGATCAGTTCTTGCAAACAATCTTTTCGTTTTGACTCAGTTAGCGTCGACGCGGGTGGGAGCCCGCTAGGAACCGATCGCGTGGTTCCCCAGCAGCTGCTTTAGGCTTCATCAAATCTTCCCGCAGTAGCCTGGCCCGCGACGGATAATCCAAAAGTGTGTGTACATAATTAAACTAATTTATTACTTTTGGGCAATGCGAGGCACACCTATTTAGGCGTGATCATGGTAAAGGTACAAATAAATATCGGGGAAGTTATATGAGATGGTACAAGTTAGGCATGAACACTGGAGCTGTGAGTTCATACCTGTATATGGGAGTGCAAGTGTCCATCTGTCACTTGAGTTTGAATATGTGCCACTGAAGTTGTGATTGATCACGTGGATAGCGTGAGAAGGGTTGAGTGACGTCCATGGTGGGAGTGTGCTTGGTTGTTTAATCATGGAGCAGTGACGTTAGTTAGAGGCGAGTCATATCCGCCTCATCACAATGCTGTTAAACAGACCTCAGTGGCCTTTTATAGAGAGAACGTTTGTCCAGCGGAAACCCACCACGTCCTGGTGCATTGTCGCTAAGCGGTTGGTTCCCCGGGGAAGTCCTATTTGCATTGTCGTTTGAGCAGCCTGAGATTTCCGACAAGGCATAAGCAAGTGATTGGACGCTTGACAGGCAGGACCACAAGTTAGGTGGTTATGAAGTTATTCAAATACGTGATAAACAATAATTTCGAAGGCTTTTTGTAGGCAGGCCATGGCTGTTCTAATCCCATGGATGAGAGCATGCAAATCCAATTGGTCACTGTCAGTAGACCATGGTGGAAGTGAGTGTGTTGATGGTCTGATATGATCGCGTTTGTCGTTGTAGGTTCATTCAATCGCAGTCCCACAAACGAGCTGGGAGCTTTGTTTTATTCCTGTTGATAACTTCAGACCTCGAGGAAGAGAAGAGAAAAGAAACGGGTGGTTTAG